TTGTTTGCTTTCCCCCTGCTTTGCCTTCCTTTCTTCAAACTACTGAGATGCCATAACATGGGGAAGCTGTGTAGAGCCAGGACTGTGCCAAAAGTCAAAAGAGCTCCAGCAGATCATGCAATAGTACTGATTAGTCTGGAAGGTTTCTTTATTAGGGCTCCAAGTCTATTCACAAATGATAACTATCTTGGTCAAAAAGCATTTGTGGTCAAAATGCCAACTTTGAACAAGACTGGTACAAAAGTTCTTGCTGCACTCAGCATATGCCAAGAAGCCAGGAAGAAATATGGCTATGACAACAAAAAGGTGGGGACATTACTGCCAGATAAAGAGAGGACTTGTACCTAATAAGGACAGAAGAAACCCCTTTCCTTCTGACTTTTCAGACCAACAATAGTGTTTAAGAATACCAAAGCAGTACCTTAAGAAACAGAATGGAAGCACTCGTGGAATACTTGATTCCAGGTTCTCCGGATCAGAAGTAGCTCCACTTTACTATTCGTATTTACATGGAGCACAAAAATGCCAGAATTACTCAAAGTTTAATTTTAGAAAAGGTTTCTGAGCTACACAATGACTCATATCTTAACAAACCAGCCTGAAAGCTACAGTAAGCTGCTCTCAGTATCAGAGGTTCAAGTTTCTACTTTATTAGCCATTAGCCAAAATTTCTAAATGCATTTTAAAGTAACAAATAAATAAATAAATAGACCCACCATCTTCCAGTACATATTGGAAGCTTCTATAACTTGTTTTGTATCTCAGCTGTGCTGCTCCTGCTTTAGTTTGAGTGAGCTGCACCAGAGGAGCCCTTGGACCATGTATTTGTTAAATAGCGGCACCTCCAGGAGCTTTTTATAGTGACAGGGAAGGGGAAATGCTCTGTTCAGTCCCTACCGCTGAGGCAGTCGAGAAACACACAGAGAGTGGCAGTACATCTTGTAAAGACTTAAAATCCTCCACTAAACGTCCTGCTTCTATTTGACAATACGGGCAGGGAGCTTTTGCTTTATCACACTTGTCACACCAATCACTAACACACAGTAGAACAGTCTGTGCTTCTTCACAAGACAAAGGATGCTCCAGCTGCATATCACAGAGATATCTGCAAAGCTGCAAACATCCAAGGACACAGGCATGGATGTGATCCAGCAAAGACAATGTGCAGAGGCAGGTGTATTGCCTCCTAAACATCAGTCAGGCAGACGTACATTTCTTCTCTGCCCTCTCTGTATGTTCTGTCCCTGGCTCACCTCCACAGACTGAATCCCAGGAGCACCTTACACTTTACTGACTCTTGTGCCACAGTTGTGCCTCTCTCTGTCCTCAAAAGCTGTAGCTACATAACAGCTATTTGGCTGGATTGTTTCCCAGCCAGTGACTTGTTCTGGACTAAACTTTTCCAGAAGTCCCCCAGGAGTTATGCATGTACAGGGATCTTAGTAGCTACTCAACAAGGGGCATGTTTACTTCTACAAAGGAGTGATCTTCTACAAAGGAGTGATCTCAGTGAAAGCACACCATGTTGTGTTTGCCATTTGAGCTCATACTTTGTCATTCCTAGTTTTCAATAATAATATTTCTTTTAGTCACCATTTTTTTGATGTAGTGATAGGCTTTGTCTTAAAAAAAAAACAACAAAACTACATGACTTTTTTCTTGGATAGTTTGTGAAGTCAGAAGATCCTGTTTCAAGAGACTACTGCCACTGGAGGTCACTATCTCCTGGAACAAGAAAAGAATATGGTCCAAAATATAACTCCAATCCCAAACAAATACGTGTCTCAGAACACAAAGTACTCCCAGGAATTCTGATCAATGGGTAGGTACACAGGAGCATATGTAAAAGGAGCTACTGTGTAGACAAAGAACAGGTTGCTCTGCATATCTAATACTGACTGCATTTTCTAGAGACCGGAAGATGCCAGTAGGGAGACTATGTCCATCTCTAACTTTGACTTGCTGAGTCTAAGTATGTCTAGGTAAGTGTGATATGAAAAAACCCCACATCTTAAATACAGCTGCTTAATTATCAGTAGCAGCTGGAGTTGATGCAACCCACATTATTTGTGTTTTCTGGCTACTTACAGCACCAGACAAAAAGCAACTAAAATGTGAATACGCAGATGGCTAAAAAGTCTGCAGGATCTGAGCACAGGCATAAAAGGTCAGCAGTCTATTCCATCCTGAATGATTCTATGCTTTTACTTCTTTTCCCTCTTTTCCTTGCCTAAAAATTGGAGGGGAAAAGCTAACATATGAATACCTTTCACAAATACTGTCAATTCTATGTCAGGTTTCTTCTTGTTCTTACTGAGGTATGTATGAAACTCTAAGTGCAACAGCTTTCTCAGAGAGCCCCAAACCAATCAAAACATCTCTTCTATGCTTTACCTAAGGATGTATTACTGTGCAGTACCACAGCCAGGATATGAGGCTAGATGTATTCTTACTTTTATTAAGCAGTTTAGTGTGTCTATAATCATAACAAATTTTATCTATTTATGTTCTCAATAAGACAAAACAGAAAAAAATACTAAGAACTGGATTTCTGTTTTACAAGATTCATGGTAATGTACAGAAATTGAAGCAAGAATTCTTAATATGTTTATTAGTAATTCTAAAAGAGGAATTACTTTCAACTTTCGGCAGACTGGCAAAAAAAGCACCCATGTGAACTAAAATGACTGTATAGCATGTTTCTGAAAGAAAACTGCTGATGAAACTCCATGGTTTCAATTCCAAACTATCAATACTAACAAGAAAGATCACAGAATAGTAAGAAAAACCAAAGGAAATCCTATTTCTAATAAAATAAAAAATTAATTTAGGAAAAAATACTGCCAAAAAGTGCCAAACCCAGCTAGGGAACTATAACACATGATGCCGCAAGTTCATTACAGTAGGGGTAATGTTTGAAACATACATCTCTAACTACAACATACTGTTGGACACAGGACACTTATTTTAGATTTCCAGTAAGAGTTCTGTAAGACTCTGCAAGATGTCCCTCTCCAGATTATCTTCAAACATATCTGAGTGAAAGGGCAAACAGAAATTTGAAAGAGATGATTGCTTCCTTTGTGGGGAATACAGTCACCCACTGAGACAGGGACTTACATGAATTCTGATTTGCAATCATTTCCACTATTTATGAGGTCACTGGACTTGCTCCTGCTGAGCTCAATTTAGCAAGAGCTTTGGCTAGAGCAGTGCAGAGGATATTACAATCACATTGACTTGGTGATGTCCAAATTACCACAAATGCGTTACTCAAAACTGTAAATAGGCTGAAAACTAAGCATATTTCAGTACACAGACAGATTAAAAAGCCAAGATGTAAGTACAAATTAAATAATGGCCTTAAAGGCATCATTAATTATGAACAACAAAAAAAAAAGTATGCGGCTCATGCACTTAGGCAGCGATACTGAAGTCAACAAGAACTCCAGAAGGTAATTAAAAGCTTCTGTTTAAAACAAACAAAAATTCCACAAAACAGTAACAGAAACCCTCTCCGTCACAGAAAGAAGAAACATTTCCACCATCACCACCCCATTTTTCAAATACACTGAGCACCACACCACTGAACGACATGCATTATTCACATTTCAGTCTCCTTTTCTCCTACAAGGATTGTCTAATGATCACTGCAATCAGGAGAAAGTCAATGGCTATAAATGCAGAATATTCTGTAAGATTTTTTCTCTTTAGTTTATGCACATCTAAGCAAACCTAATAAAATAGACCTAACTATTTCATCCCCTTCCTTATAATTTATCATTTTTTTGTCATCCTTTAACTGATGATTTATGTAAATTAATAAATTACATGTTCTTCTTTCTGGTAAAATCATTTTTACAGGGATTTAAAATTTGCTATTTCCTAACTTTAACAATCTAGTATTTGGACTGAAAGATCTTTAATACATGTTGTACATTCCTCCATTTTCATGTTTAGGAAACTTCCTTAGCTCTTCATGTCCCAGACTTTGGCAGAAACTTGTCCATCAAAACAGTGATAGCAATGGAAATGGAATCAAAATGTTCCACCTAGTGATGCTGGCTTATTCTTTTTTCAAGTGTAATCTTTGGTTTCACTACACTTAAGTATTTTTTATTGGTGTTTGCACTTGAAAAGAAACAATGTGCATTTTAAAAGAACTGTGAAGGGTGCTGCAGATGAAGTTGAGAATAATGTGCCTTTTTTTCCTGGAAAGCCAGCCTATAGAAAAAAACTCATTCTAGTAATTTAGTTTAGCCCTATGTATAAAATAACTGAAGTCAAGGTGCCTGGGCTGTTATTATTTTTTTCTGATGTTTTTGACACCAGTGTGCTGAGCTTTATGGCATCCTCAGTTTCAGCAGTAGCAAGTTCTCACTAGGTATAGTCGTAATACTCCTTAATATTTTCATTTTGATGTAATTTGCGTCCCCAGCTTTTTAAATATCTGCTTTGTAATAATGTTAAATTTCAGGGGTCACTCCGCCAAGGAGTATATTAAAGCCTATAAAACTCATTTCCAAAGCTCAAATATCAAACTGTGATCAGGTTAGGAGGGCAGCATCTGTGAATATTTCATCTTTTATCATGCTGATAATAAGGAGATGACAGAGGCACATTATTACAATGAGAGAATTGCTCATTTCAGCCCTGGCTGCTGGAAGCAGGGTCTGCACTGCGCGTTACTCAATAAAATCAATTCTTATATGAAAAGCAAGTTTACTGAGCCACCACTGTGTCTTATTTGATTGTAATGAATAATATATGGACCCAAGAGCTTGTGTATCTGGTAGGGAGAGGGAAAGGAAAAGGCTTAAGTTTGAAGGGGCACTTCAGTGTAGACAACAATTCATCAAAATGGTATTTTATTGTTCAGAAGTGATGCTACGGGACTGCTGTCTGTTAGACTTATAACTGTGATAACAAATCTTAAAGGTCCACTAACACAAAGAAGGATGCTAGTCTACACTGAACAGTGTAAAACAATTTCCATCTTGCATTTGCTTATTTCTGCTCAACACATAATGACTAACTAGTGTGACAGTTTAAGGATGACAAAATTTCTGCTGCAGTCTCTTGTATCTTGACTTTTTTTGGCCACATTTCACACTGTTGTCCACCTAAAGAAGAAACAGTTGAGAAAAAACCAGTCTGTCTTATCATCTATGAGATGGAAAACACTTCTCTGAAAAAGCAGCAGCATCAAATCTATTTTAAGAGGGAAATAAGAAAAAAAGCTGGCATCCTTTTATCTCTTGGATCATATACTATTACTATTTTTTCTTAAATATATTTATGCCATTTGAAAACAGCTTACTACGAGCAGAAATTCAGATAATTTCACAGAGTAACACATAGGTTTTTTGCAAATTTGGTAAATTTAACTGTTGGTACTGTCTTATCTCCCCCGAGCCTGTTTTATTCAAACATTTGTTTCATGACTAAGATGTCAAATTGAATCAGCTTCAGACCTTTTCAGCTGTAAACATAAAAAAAATAAATAAAATCCACCCCAAAATACCCAAGAAAAAATAAAAAAATATTTTAAAAATCATCAAATTGCCAGCAGTTTTGTGCATATTTACACATAAAACTCTCTGTATATTATTCACCATCTGAAATTCACATTTTCTGTTATTATGGGCAGTTCCTGTTAGTTCTTCTTTTAAAATAAAATGTTACATATAAAAACTACTTTACAGGCAATTTTTTTATTACACATTTAAATTTTCACATCATGAAAAGCAAACCAACCTTTTACATCACTGAGTGTCATAATTACAGTATCTAAGGCTAGGTTTAGAAAAGCAGATCATTTGTCTGGAAGCTTTTTTCATAGCAGCATCTCTAGTTAAATGTTCACATGCTTCCCATTTACTCAGCCCTTATCCAGCTATTTTAAATAAGGCAAACAGCTCCTGGATTCACATTTTTCCACACTTCACAAATCTGGCAGACTCACCTCTGCTACAGTTACACATCAATCTCTGTGTCATGAAGTACAAGTTATGAATTGGATCTAAGGAGTAAGGATTTTTCAGGCAATTCTAGTTTTCAGGAAATGTTAAAAAGTATTATGTTACTGATTTCTTTCTTTTTTCCTTCTCTTTCTCTTCTTTTTTTTTAAAGCATCTGAGTACTAAAACCTCATATTCCCACTAAAGGTGAGAATTACTGTGAACTGCAGCTTTAAATCAATGCATTATAGGCAAAGCAGTCTCAGTATAACCAATTATTTATTATTAGTAACAGCATTAAAAAGGGCCACTTTTTTTCTTAACTTCTGAGAATAAATGGCCCTCATCACAAAAATAATATGCCATGCTGTGATAATGACCTATCATTTTGGCACTTGTAATCTAAGTTGTGTTTGATCCAATCCCTTGCTGTAAAACATATTTAACTCACTTGCATCTAAATATTTATTCTGCCTGCCTTCATTTCTTTCCCTTCACTTACACACCACCAACTTCAGTAGAATTTCATGGGGTTTGTTTGTTTGGTTTTTAGCTATTATTATTTTTATTCTAAGTTTTTGAAACTCTCTCCTCTTTTTTGGGGGGAGGGGTGCGGTTAGACAAACTGAGACATTTCCACCTTCTCAGAAAGAGAATTAAGGAAATGATTGAATTCAAGCATCAGGAATATCAGGAAGATTCCCAAAGTTTACATGCAGACACTCCAATTCAATAAATGCAGACTAATGCTCGTAAAAATACAAAAGAAACCCACTCAGATTGCAGGAACTCCAGGAGGTCATGTATTCAAAACTCCTGCCTTGTGCAGAGCCAACTTTAAAATGCAATCACATTGATCAAATGTTTTCCAGGATGGTTTTGATGGAGATGCCACAGGTTCCTGGGCAACCTGAGTGCTTACCCACTAATTCTGCTAAAAAATCTACTCAACACCTGGTCTACTGACATCTGATGGGGTACACCTTTCTCAGAGGGGAAAAAGAGTTCTAGCACAGGAGCCAGTGGGTCTCGTTGACAGAGCTTTAAACCAGCTTGAAATGGGGAACGGGACAAAACCAGGTTCACCAGTGATGAGTGATAGGATGGTGTGCCAAAACTTGATAAAGGAACACTCACGGGATCCCTCAATCTGCCTCACAAGGTATTGGCTACAATATACCACACCTACAACGTTTCCACACCAATGCAGGCAGCACGAGGAACAAGCAAGAGGAGCTTGAAGCTTTGGCCCAGTCCCAGAGATCTGACATCACTGGCATATGTGACAGCTGGTGGGATGAGACCTCTGACTGCAGTGCCCTGTTGGACAGTTATAGGATCTCCAGGAGGGACAACAGGGCAGATTTTAAATCTGATGATCTGGGATTTGTTGTTTGCTGTAAAAGATCACAATTTCCTAGTGAGGTTCTCCCCCTACCCTAAAACTCTTTAAAAATACATCATTTGATGTTAGAATTATGCATACAAAATTTCAAGTCCACTTTATTAGAAAGGTAATTTCATAGCAATTAAATCTTAACAACAAAGACATTTCCAGCACCAGAGAGGGTTACTTTTAGCAAAACATATGTCGCAATAGCAATGTTTTCTTCCTATCCTCAAAATGTCCCTCAAAGTACAGATCTTCTAAGACATGAAAATAATTCACAGAATCAGTCAGATTGGAAAGGACCACAGTGAGTCATCTGGTCCAACCTTCCTGTTCAAGCAGGGTCATCCTAGAGCAAATTCCTTACCATTTTACTCCTGTTCTTTGAATTCCCCTTAATGCAATGTAATCACAGCGACCCCCATTTATGATCAAAATGAAAAAATATGAAAAAAAAAAAGGGTAGTTTCACATTAATTCAATAACTTGACCTATAAAACAGCATAATTAGCCATTTGAAATTATATTCTTACTTTTATCTTTCATTACAGCGCAGAAAGATTCACTATTAATGCTCAAAGCAGCACTTACTAGTGAGTATATAACCTTAAATACTTGATTAAAAAGTGCTATTTCCATTTACAGAAGGTATTAGTGTAGTCAGTAGCTTTTAAAGGGCTTGTTAATGGCTCACTCTTTTCATTCATCATCAAAATTAAAGTAATACTTAGATGTGTTTTATTAACTTAAGTGAAGAAATATGCTTATTCAGCTGTAACAGCGCATTTGCAAGTGATAGTTGCTCCTTATAGTAAATTTCTGATATTCAATGGTTATAATTGTCTTATTAATGGAATGATAACTATGTGAATGTTATTAGCATACCTCAGATGATGGAATGGCCATCTGTCATGGTTTAGGAATGGTATTCTCCAATTTAGTGCTCCCACTGAAACCTCCAGCGGCTGAAGAGGAGAACTGGAAGTACAAAAGGCAAAGATCACGAGTTGAGATCAGAACATTTTACTGGAAACAGCAACAAGATTAAAAAAATGAACAGTAACAGCTACAATATTAATTTAAAAAGTGTACAAAAGAGAGAGAGCGATTTGACCTGACCACAGCCACGCTACCACTGCTCCCAGAAAATGATGTGAAGTGGTACAGAATAACCTCCAGGTTCTGGCCATGCCTGCATCTGGCTACTGCAAAAATTAACTCTGCCCAGCTGGGACCAGGACATCATCGCACTCATGGCAAAGGAGAAGTTGCAGCTGCGCCAAAAGTTCAGCTGACTTACTGTGGGAAATTATTAGAGAGTGAGTTCTTAAATAAAACCAAGAACCCATTAAAAACCTGCTTGCGAGTACTCTTTCATTTAGAATGCAACAGACAAAATCCAGTTTACAGGGCAGGTGTGTGCTTCCAACTGTTGGGAAAAAATCTCACTCCTTAACTACTATACCGATTAGTCTGCATAGTATGAAATTATATTAACTTTCCTAAGATACATATCTAGTTTACATTGTATATGAGTAGCAACACTTGAGTATCAAACTAAAGGACCCCAGCTCATCGCAAAGAGAAGGGCAGCCCAGCCCTGGAGTTAAGGACTTTTTGGAATCTTATGTCTGCAAAGGATAAAAGAGATTCTGGACAACCAAGAGAATGACAACGTGCCAGCCCCTCCATATCTTTTAAACTCTCCCGTTGTCTGGTGTCACAGGGAAGTAACTACAGTGAGATTGACTCCAGGGACATCTCTTTCAATAAACTCAGAGGTGTGGGTTTAGGTGTTTGACGCGAGAGATGCAGGGACAATAGCGATTGCTGCTAGAGAATGAAAATTAGCCATCAGCATTAAGGAGAACAGAAACCGTAAAATCTTGTTTAGAGCCCTAACAAATTTTTTTTGTTCCAATTTTGCATTCTTACACATTTGCTAAGGTTTGGGCCAAAGCCCACACTCCTTACAGAATAACAGTTTTCTTTCTGTTCACTTTCCTGTTCAGTATCAGCTACACTAGCACTAGATGGTAACTGCAGAGAAAACATAGATTAGAATTAGAGAGATAGTCTTTACCTCTCAAACACAAACCTTCCAGGCAAGAAGAATTCATTCTGCACACATTATAGACATGTAGTTTTTGGTAAGGTGGGGAGAGGTAAAGGAGGGAAAAAAAAACCCCAACACAAACCAAACCAACAAACAAAACACTACAATGCTCATCTCGAACACATCATTCTCCTAAAACATGAGAATAGAACAGTAGAATAGCTAGGTGTTATTATTCATTACAATTTTTTATTACACTGTGACAAATGGCACTCCCAGAGGTAGAGCTGCTCAGAGGATGCTTATTACAGTCATTTAAGTGGGAGCTGATTTACCTTAAATAGATTGTTTCATATAGCTATATGCCATGGCTATACAGGTCAGTCACTGCTATTGTTTTCAGTGCTGCAATAACTGGATTTTAACTGAATGATGACTGTTTCATGTATGTATCACACTGTATCCTATTTATTATATCTTGCAAAATAAGACAGTACTAATCCTACAAGCTGTAGAGCTAGAATCTTTTTATTCTGTTTAGAGATATGATCTTTTTTCTAGCTTCAGGTTTAACAAGTGTTGTTGGTTAGAAGACAACCATCACTCTCTAGAGACAATTTTAGAGAAGACAACCTGCAGGCTGTACTAGTCAGTTTGCCATGTATCAAAAGCAGGCTTCTTCCACTTATGTATTTCAAGATACCTGTAATTTGGTACATGATTTATGCGCAGATGCACAACACCATCCAGAAAGCACAAGAGTTTGGGTACATATCTGACAGGAGCAGACTTAGCTCTTCTCAGGGGCCTTGGCCTTGTCACTCCTACTGCCATAAAACTACACATATTAAAAGCAGGTATAAGGACATTTTGCTTCAGTTCATATCAATATGACAGACGTTTAAGCCTATCAATAGTCTGAATACAACCAGTGTAGGTCAATATTTAAAAACACAAGTTTAACTTGGAGAAGATAATCTACGGAGCAAATGAAAGTATGACTTCGTATTTTCAGTGAAAGTGAATTGAAGGGAAGAATAAAAAAATGTACAAAGAAAGTAAATTATCCTACTGAACAAAGTGCTGTGTAGCTTTCTTCATCATGTTCCTAAAGTTCTCTAAAAAAAATCTGAAAGCAGAAACATTTCATCAATAGTCACAGGTTAAAGTTCTCGATGCTGCTTTTCCACCCGAGGTAGCAGAACTTGTCTCAACAATTTGTTATTGTTGTTCCTTCCCCAGTATTATCATCATTATTCTGCAAATATACAGAGGCATTTGCACTATATATGACCTATATAGTTCTGAAAGAGCTTTAATTAATGTACCTCTCACAATAATGAGAACAAATCTCATACAGCTGAATTGTATAACCACAATAATATGTTTTAAGCAAGTTACAGGAGGTTTAAAATTGCATTATGTATTACTAGCAACCAAACAATATTTTCCAGTTTATTTTGACTAAAAGTGAAAAGCCAGAAAGTGAAAACACAAAGCAAGTAACATGATAAATTTAGAATTCTATGCCGAAGAAGGATAGACTATCTAAAGTTAAAGATCTTACTCCCAAATAAAGTTCAGAGCAGACAAACAGGTGGGGAAATAGCTTTATATATTGTTTTCTCTGATGTGAAAGCTGCATTTTTTCTTTCAGATTTTGGCACTCAAATGCAAGTATCAATAAGGTTCAGCTTTAGGGCTAATGAAACTGTGTCACAGTACCAGAAGTCCCTGTGCTAGTGAATGCTGGGTAAAAATCTCTTATAATCACACTGGACATCATAATGAAGCCTGGACACAAAGTTTTTCATCTGATCCTGTAGAACAAAAATTACGATAAGCAAGAGTAGGGTGCAATAGAAAATATGAAGCAAAGCTCAACATTTTAAAAAGACTTCTGAGGTACCTATTGGCAAAATAGCTTTGTATAAGCCACCTTGACAGTACAAAATCATCAACATAAATGAGGATGCTAAAATTATATCACTCACGTATGTGAAACATAAAAGCGTTGATAAATAAGCAATTTTATATAGAAAAGTAAATGTACTTGTTGATAACAGAAAACAGTGACCCCTTGCATTCCCCTGCCTTTGCCATTACTCTTCAAATGATCGTCAGCATCAATTCACAGACCCAGTTACAGCAGGACTTTCCACCAACTTTGTCTAGCATTTTAAATGGAAAACAGTAATGAATTAAACTCTAGCTTTCTAACGTAAATGAGTAATCCAACAGCCAAAACATATTCTGCAGAGCATACCTAAATCAATTAAACTTTAACTACTTTTTAAAACAAAGTCTTTTAGATGCTAATGGCCATTGTTTTCTCACTTAGTAAGTAAAATTTTGTGTCACAAAAAGGTTAGATGATTGCAAAGATTTAACTGAATGTCTAAAAGAAAGGGAAATGTTTCTTTAAAAAGCTAAGATGGACCTCTTACCACATTCCTACAGCAAAATGTCCTGTAACAATAGAGCTGTGATTTGCTGAAATTAAAATGCTATTATGGTGGAATTAGGCCTTCAATATTTTTAGCAGCTTAAATAGGCCTTCCATTTTTAAAGGACATCTGATAACAGATAATTACATTTCATCTTACAGAAACTGAGTTGTTTTCGGAAGGAAAAATACTTTTCTTTTTTTCCATAGAGGTTAGAGCATAGCCATCATTAGTACCAGCAATAGGCTTTAGGTGCCTACTTCAGCTTGGGGGATATATATTAGCATATAAATAGTTAGTGGCTGCTTGATTCTACCTATTTTATGTTTCAATGTGGTATCAGAATGCACTTAGCAAGAAACCTGGGGGAGTAGGGGAGGCAGCAAGATTTGTGCTGTAAGGGAGGACTTATGTAATATGGGGGTTCTACAGAGGGGGCATTTTTTGCTATTAAAAAAAAAAATCCCCTGTTCCTATGCACTGAGTTTTCTTCATGTTTACTGTATCATTTCAATAGTCTAATTAATGAGTTCTACAGAGCAATCTGACATTCTTAAAAGACAGTGCATTGATTTAAGCACCAGCACTCTTTTCTGAGAATACAGTAATAAGTCAAAGTAGTGCATATATATATGTAGTGTATATATATATATAGTGCATAAATATAATTGTTTATTTATTTTATATTTACATGAAATGTGTCTCAAATAATTTTTACCCTTTTTATTGATGGAAAATAATGGAAAAGCAAGGTGTCATTATTACCCTGCCAACACTACTTTCATGCAATTCATTTCCTCTTGGGAAGCAGGCAGGGAAGGAAAGCCACGAGCATTCCCTGTCCTCTGTTTCAGACTGACCTTCAAGATTTACTGCTTTAAAATGTTAATCATCATGAGTGACATTTCTTATGTCACTAAGTGGATTGTAATGGCAGAGGGAGAAACGTTCTTTTTAACAACTTCCCTCCCAGCCAAGGAGGGGTGACTGAAGCTGGAGCAGAGGTGAGCGGGTGGCTCCTCCAGGAGAGCTGTGAGGGCACACTTAACTTCAGTCAATGCATACTTATGAGGGAGGTGAGGAGGTGAAACCAGTCTGCATTGAACCACAGCATGCAACTGGTCCAACAGCATCTCTCAACCTCCTTCTGGTTCAGGCTCTCAACAAACAAGAACACCAGGCAAGATGACACGATCACCCTGGAATCAGAAGCACGTTGCACCCAATCCAGAACTGGCACACTGCTCCTTCACAATCACCCCAAGGATGTCACAGAAAAGTGCACCTGACTATGAAGCTGCAACAGACATTTGCATTCAGGCAATTTCAGGGGAATTAAAGCATTACCTAGGAAACGTCATTAGGGTATATCAGCTTGAGCAGGTAACAGCATAAAAACAAGATGGTCACCATGAAAAAGTAACTAACTTCTGATACTACACAGTCTAAGCTCTGAACTTTTCAGACCCTCTCAGTAAGCACACGTAATACAGGATGGAAGAGAGCCATATCCTTCTGGAGAAGGACCTGCCACTGGCAGCACCTAAAACTCTACTAGGGTCTGGCACTGGAGTAATTGAATCCCACTGTTCATATCTATGTGTTTTGAGAATAGGAACTATTCACACACATCCTGCGTGCTATCGATGCATACTCATTTTTAACAAACCACATCTGTCATGTTCCAAAAGGTTTGGTACAATTAGAAAGCAGCCAATATTATGGACACTGCTTTCATGGATGCAACTTTCGAACATTCTGCCTGCCAATATGAAGTAAGCTCTTCTAATCAAAGCTTACAATCTTCATTTTTTCACCTTCCCTCTTAATTTTGGCCTTTGGCAAAGTCTCATTCAACAACAAAACAATTAGGTCCACAAATACCAAAATAAAATACGCAATTTCTGGCACCACAAGTACCAGTATTTCAAATCTGGTTGAAAAAGTACAATAAGAAATTTTTAGATTGGGCTGATTAAAATTGTCATTAGAAGTGTTAGTATTTAATTATAAACAAAACACTGGAAGAAATTAAATACTAGTCCCGTCAATTTCAAAATTACCATCTCAGTTAATCAAGTCTAAGAAAGGTCAAAGACCTCTATCTTCTAACAAAAACAATTCCCGATTCACTACATTAGTCAAAAAATTTAGATTGCAGAAATGTGATATAATCCTACTATTCTATCCGCATCATTATAATTTTTAAATATGTTATTTCATCTCCATGACCTCTACATTACAGTTTATATTGAATGAAGCAGGGCCAATGACTTGCAAATGAAATCGGAACCATAACCAGGCACTTCAGATGTCTCTTCTTGATTAAAAGGGCTGGTGAAAAGAATTATTTTTTTAATCAGTAAAGTCTACTTTTACAGCTTTTAAGTCACTCAACCAGAACTAAAATATTTGTACAGTAAAGGCAGAAAGATGGAAGGAACATCATGAAATCTACTAGTTCTTAAAATAGCTTAACATCCCAATATTACAGGGGTTCAACAAACAGAAATCCAGAATACCAGAAATCTTATCTGCTAAATAACACAAAGCTTGTCTATTATAAACATCAAAATGGTGATGGTTTTGTCTTCGAGAAGCCTCGTGAGCTCATTAACAACTGGTTAGTTCACATAACATTGGGAACATCACTGTTTTTCTGTGTAGCTCCAAATTTCTAGCCTGCATTGACATACTAAATGAAGAATAATAGAGCCATGCACTTGCCTTTGACAGCTGTGCCAAGAGAGTTTAAGGGACAAAACTAATCAACCAATCAGAAACACAACAACAATGAAAAAAAACCAACATCAGATGTCATTTAGATTTCTGTTTCCCAGTCAAAGAATATTTTTCATATATAAACACTCTACCCTTTCCAAACATCTGTAATAATTAATACACAATTACTTTCATATAGTTTATGTAAAAATATCCCTGGCAGTCAAACATTGGCCTAATGATCGGAAATATGAAAGTCCCACAAGAACAAGGATCGAATGACAATATGTATTGTCAGTATGACAATGCTTCTAATTAATGCACAGCTTAACATAACCATGAAGCCAATTTTGCAGACAGAGTTATGTTGGTTTATAATCTATATGTAACCACTTAATTAGACAAGAAAACTGAATGGAAACTGAACAAGGGCAATCACAGTGTGTTCTTTTTCAAGGGAACACACTTTCAGAGGTGCCATCACACGATGGCTGAAGTGTTCTTGTGTGGCAGAAAAACCCAAGGAGATATAAACATGGCAGCCGTTGTACACTATAAATCAGGCTCCTCTTAGGTAAACAGTGTGCTTTTCCTGTTTTCAGTGAGACAATCTTTCCCTGCATGGGAAAGCTAACAATAGGGGAGGTGTCTTTGATGTGATTCATGTCCATCTTTATTTTCAATTAGAGCAGCTTTGCTGCAGACCCTGTCCCTTTCATCTCACAGAAAAATCTAAGGTGTCTTACCTGAAAACACAGGGGATTTTAATAGGCATTCCCAATTCATCTGACTAGGTAAATAAATTATTATTCTTTTACTCTCATTCTGATCAATAAAAAACATTAGTCTGAAAGTGATTCCTTCCTGAGACAGAGTTGAGAGGCTACAGATTTCACAACTGATTCTATTATGCAGCCATGTACTTTTTGCAAATATAAGCATTTGAAGAAAATATACCTTGGATCAGGAACATTTTTGTTGTGATGTGAAGAGTTACCAAAAATCCTCACAAAATATTTTTTAAAAATTCTAAATATTTGTAGACTGCAGCATCTGTCCCTAAAACCTTTAGATCTGTCCCTAAACCCCTCCAGCTATAAGTAAGTCAAGCAAAAGCACTAACTGCTCAGATACTTCTGAATTTCTGAATTGTCTTAAGCAAAACTTAATGACTATGTGAACTATCTGCTTTACTTCCAAATATACTACTTGAAATTATACAACCAAAACCGAAAATCCTTCTCTTTAATGAAAATCTAACATAGTATCAGTAAACATGAAAAAAAAAGGTTTTCGTAAAAGCAATGTGCCAGTAAGTTATCTTTAGAAACTGTATCTTCATAAAAAGTTATACAAATATACAAAAGCAATAAGCTAGCTAGTATTAGTATTAATGCATTAAAGAATAGGTCTACATTCTTTTCAGACCATTTAGTGTTGTTCTAATAATTCCTATTCTCTTAATGCTTTCTCGTGGATGAAACAACAAAGTGCAAACATTACCATGTGATCACACATCATGGCAGGTCAGTGAAGAATGGAAGCTGATTTCTGCCGTAGATCCACCCACAGAGCTGATCCTCCTCAGCAGAGTTCTCATTTTCTGAAACCCTACCTTGACAAGTGAAGCATAGACACAATACTGTTTGGCACCTCAAGCTAGCAAAGAATGAAATTCCACTAATACTTAAATGCTTTTCAAATCAATACTTAGTATCTTGAAGAAATGAGACTGGAAACAGCTTCACCACATACACATTTTAGAAGGGCAAAGTATGGTGAAGCTGGTCCACTTGTCTGGCTGCCTCTCAATTTAAACTGAGCCATTTCATATGTTCACTGTTACGGTGATTTTCCTTACCATGGGCTTATTTCCACTCTCCACACGAAACAATTCATTAAACTTAATTTGAGAAAACGATCTAAAGGCACGGACCAATATTAAGAACAACATTTAAATGTGTTTTAAAGAGACAAAATCAGAGGAGAAAAATCATGCAAGGGATGAACCAAGCTGTCACTCAGCTCCCCAAAATATATAAATGCTATAGCTATATTTCTATAGATTCACCCTCACGTAACTTGGGACTTTAAAATAATAATAATAATAAGAAGAAAAACAAAAACAATAATAATAATAATTTAGGAAATCAATTCAACACAGAGTTAGGTAATTTAACACTGCTCTGACTGTAGAAAAAACTACCTGATCTGCTTCTTCCTACTGGGAGGTAACTCAACATTGTATTGCAAAAGCAACCCAGAAACATATTTCACATTCTGTTGACTGACTGGGTGGGAAATGTACTGCCAAGATAGGCAAGTCTCCTGAGTGCAAAAACATCTGTAATCATAATTAAATGATAAAGTGCTGGTAGCATCTGTTTCCTCACATCCCTGAGGGGCTTATGAGTAGCATTTGAGGTGATCTCAGCATACTGGCCAAAAGGGTTAATTATTGTACAACACTAAGGGGGAAAAAGTAACACTCCAAGGGGAAAGTATTACTGAGGAAATGTACATGTACTGAGGAAATGAACCAAAAGTCATTAGCTGAAGAACAGATTCACAGCAGGCTGCTAATGATGAGACAAAGATTACAGCTTGCTGGTAAGGACACCAACTCAGAAGTAATAATAATGCTGAGGTAGCACACACTAGAATGGACGCGTAAACAAAAAAAGAGAAGGAAACAAAATTATGAAGATGGAAAAAAACCTCTCAGTTGATATTTATTCATTTCACTAAGTACTTCAAGTTCTGTGAGTCAAACATAGCGGGGGGGGAGCTTCCTTCTAACCACACTTTAGCAGAGCAGGGGTTTTCCCCCCTCTCCTTCAAAAGTGTCTCTATAGAGGTCTGTGTTGCAAAGCAGTCCATAAAACTTAAGGGGTTTTAAAGGGTTATGTTCACAGGGCCAGACACATGTATTCCATTATGACTGTTGAACTTATAAAAATGTGTCATTTTGAATTGCGAAGATGAAGTATAACACAGTGAGATATGTTCAGTTTCCTAATGCCTTAAGAATATTTTGTTCACTGTATAGTTATCACACACTCATTTCTGCAAGGCATGCTGCTTCTTGTACATGTCAGCTGAACCGACAGCAGCCCTACTCAGACAACTGATGTACCTCCTGCTGTGTTAGCAAACAGACACTCAACAAGACTTGACTTTCACTGCTAACAGGCATGGACAGTGAACTTTACAAATGAAGCCTCAGACTGAAAGTACGTGTTCAAAGAGCCCAAAGCTTCAGTCTCCAAGTTGTAGTCTCTGCCCTTCAGCTTGATCAAAGCAGCTCTCTCAGTTGGCCTTGTTCTTTCCAGATCTTTAATTCAAATTGTGAATCAAGGAAAGATTTGAAATGGAAAA